TAGGGAAAGTTTACATTGTGTATGGTTTAAGTTGTATTTCCTGTACCTTTCACATGCACTAAATTCACTTTAAGACAGTAAAAGGAGTTGTCTCCCTGTTTGTTGTCAGTGCGGGACAGAGCTCTGTTGTGGCTGGTGCTCGTGTCCTTGTCTGGGGGTGACAGAGACCAGACCTGGGCTGGACCTGTTCTGCTGATGGAGGTTTGGGTGTGCACCCCCTTTTAGCTGCAATCCCCACAGCAATTTCCACTCTGGCCCCAGTTTTTAACTCTGCAGCCTGAATCCAAGCTCTGTCTGCTTGCAGAGGGGGCTTTCTTCCCACTAAGCTGCCAGCACACGCTGGGCAAGGCAGGCAGCTCTTGGAACAGTCACTGCTGTTTCCTACTTTACCACTATTTTCTGCTTTCAATACAGCTCTGGTTCTAGGTGATAGAGAAGCCCTGTGCCAAATACCAGGTCTTTCTCCTGCTTCGAAGGTTGGGTGGTTCTGTTCAGAGATGGTTTTACAGGTCCTGTTCAGCCACGCAAACTGCTGGGTGTTTCACAAGCACAGCGAGACCGAGCAGCAGATACAGTGTGACCAGTTAGAAAAAATTAGGACATTTACTGTAGAAAGTTAAGTTACAGATCAACGGCTTACAAAATTTCTGCATAAAGAAATGCTCCCCAGTTTGTCTTGCCCCTCCCGTGATGGGAAACCCAGGAATCGCGTTTCAGAATTGGGGGGGTCCTGCCAGTACAGGCTGTGTCCACTTGTGTGAGGCTTCTGCAATTAAACACTGCTTGACCGTCCTCGTGGGTCAGTTTTTTCCTTATATCCACTCTGAGCATCTTTTCTCGCCTCCAGCCCTGTTGTCTCTTCTCATCTCCCCCTCCCCAGGAGAGCCTGGCTTCCTCTTCTCGCTGCCCTCGTCGCCGTGCAGGACGCTGCTGCTAAAGCTCGCTCTTCTCCAGGCTGAACAAGCTCAGTTCCCATTTGAAACGTCTATAATGCAAGAGTGGACTGTGAAGGGGGCACGACACAAAAAGGTATTTGTCCTAATCGCAAGGAACACAGCCCAAAGCCGTTACCCATTTGGTTTCTGCAACACTGTGCTTTCACTTATCTTCACATTTAAATTTTGGGGCCTTCAGTCCACGCGACTGCAGTTGCTTCATAGATTAAACAACTCGTTCTCCGTTGGCTTTACCTTGAAGCTAGCGGTGGAAGTTTGTGGCACACAGTGTGCGGGCTCCCATCCTATTTGGTTAATTAAGGCAGGTGTTTGGCATCTGTCTTTTTAATGGAGAGAAGCAAGCACGTAATCATTTTGCTAATTTAAGAGCAGACGGGAGTTTCTGCAGCAATTCCCTTTCTTCACAGCTGGTTTCCAACAGCAGAGCTGGTTCAGCACCACTCTGAACCGCAGGAGATCAATCGCTGTAGGGCTTCTTGGACTGGCTCCTTTCTGCTCCCATCTCCTTCATGCTGTACAAGGGTTCCACGAGCTTGTTGTGGACCAGCATTAAACCTGATGTGGCAAGGAAAAAGATGAGTTAAGTAGATATAATAAAGCAAAATTCTCATTAGTTCCCATTCATGGGATGCTAATGCAATTAGGCATTGCTAGAGTCCTTGTTCCTTGGCTCCCATGCCCACGCAGCTCAGTATTACCTTTACACTCTTATTACCTCAGCTATTGTATTTAAGGAATGTGCTCCTTTGGGAATAAACAGAAACATCTAATGCAAAGCATGGCTTGTGCCACTTAAAACTGAGCACAGCAGCTGCTTGGTCTGAGCAAACACTCGCCTTTGAAGTATTTCACTGTCTTGACTTTGAGCTCCAGCGTGGCATCCTCGTCGCACACAAACACGGTGTTGGGGTGCTGCTGGAAAGCAGATACTGTCCACATGTGGTTGACACCTTCCTCGATGGCTTTGTACAACGCAAAGGCTTTGTGGGCTCCTGTGATGAGAATCATCACCTGCACAGCGAGACAGGGTGGCAGTGAGGGTCTAGAAGATGTGTTCAGAGAGAGCACCCAAGGGCTGCCCTGGTCCCTAATGGGGACAGTGGCCATCACCCTCCCCACAGACATTTCACTGTACCACAATCCATTTTATTTATCAATTAAATCATAGCCTGGTGGGTCATTGTCACAATTCTGGTACCTGTGAAGCACCTATACACTGAGACTGAACAGGTATAGATCAAGGTATAGACTCAATTAAAAGCCATTCCCTATGGCTTTCATGATCTGCTGGTGTAGCATCAAGTCAGGCAGTGATTCTTGCGTTTATTTCCCAAGCTGAGCTTCTTAACCAAAGGCATCCTCCCAAACCTCACCAGCCCCCTGTGGATCACAGCCGTACTGCAGCGTTACACAAACGTGTTACGTGTTAGCAGAGCAACCATGCAGACAGAGCAAGAGCAGAGGATCAGGTATTTGGCTGCCTGCACCAGCAGGGTGCAATGCTGCTCCAAGGCTGGGTGATCTTTAGCTACTGCAGCAAGCCCTGCTCAAGAGCCACTCCATGAAATCACTGCTTTCCTCCTAACCTCTCTGGCATCCATCACGGTGCCTACTCCGACCGTCAAAGCCATCGTGGGGACTTTGGAGAGGTCGCCATCAAAGAACCTGGCGTTAGCCAAAATGGTGTCCATAGCCAAGGTCTTCACTCGTGTCCTGGAAACCAGACTGGACCCGGGCTCGTTGAAGGCAATGTGACCATCCGGGCCGATACCTGCGACACAGACAGGGTGAGAGGTTGGTCAGTGGCTGCAGTGGATATTGTGGGAAGCAGAGCCAACAGCACTGCTGTTACAGGGACATTCAATGCTTCAGGAAGAGAGACAGATCTGACAGAAACACTTGCGAGTTTTCTGCTGAAGCTCAAATTTGTTTCTGGTAGGAATGACAGCAAAAGCCCCCGCTGAAGCCAGCAGAGGCTGTTCCCCAACTGTGCTGGGACAACAAAACAACCAGGAGATGGCAGAATCTTAAGGCAAACGGATGGGAAAAGCTTGTGTTGAGCTCCTGTTGGCTCTGAGGACTCCAACTACTCCTAGCACTTTCCTGTTAGTGGTGGCAACTGTGATACATTCTTAATTCAATTCTAGCCCTGTCCATTTCTCCTAATAGTTTCCTAAACTATTCACTTACTGGACTGAAATACTTAAAACTGGGGGAGCGATGCATCGGAAGACAAGGCTGCCAGACCACCAGTGCCCAGGGCAATGGAGTATGGGGTGGCTTCTGCTGCAAATCCCCTGAACTGAACTGAAAATGAACTCTTCTGACGAGAAATTCGATAAGTGGGGGAAAGGCAGGACGAAGACAGCTTCCTGCCAGCATTTACAGACCGCTAGTCCTTCGGGTTTTCACCTCCAACAAAGAGTTCGATTCCTCCGGCTGCTTTGATTTTCTCCTCAAACGCGTCGCACTCTGCCTGTAGATCAGGGGCGTTTCCATCCAAAATGTGAACGTTTTCTGCTGAGATGTCAATGTGCTTGAAGAAGTTATTCCACATGAAGGAATGGTAACTTTCCGGGTGGTCCCTCGGGAGACCTGGCGACAGAGCACACACAGGACTAAGACCAACGGAGAGGAAATCACCCCTACCACAAACCACCCACAGGCCCTAGCAGTGGCTTTGCCAACAGAGCACTGCACCCTCCATCTGTTATTTGCGACTCCCTCAGCCTTCATGAGTTGTTTTTATTTCCCCAAATAGCAGAATTAAAATCAATCCCAATAGCTCCTATGTGCTTACATTAACACGCAATAGATGCTGCAGAAAAGCAGGCACACTCTGTGCCTCAACTTTTCAGCCTTCTCTCAGTTTGTATTAGCAAAGACAATTAAAAACCTGTGCAGAAGCCTGGGAAATAACTTCTTGCATAGATTTTTTGCCCTTGAATGCTACAAACCCACACTGCACAGCGTATTTACTAATGGATCGTTCACAGAAAACTTCTTGACCAAAGTAAAATTAGCATTAGCAAATATTTAGCCTGTATGTTTTTCACCTTTGGAGTTTTAGCCTAATCTCTCCGTACCCTTTCCTCAGAAGGGGCTGTTTCATCACAGCTCCATTAGCGAAGCAGTTCCTGCTATCTTAACAGCAGTGCATTATGGAAGGGCACTTGGATGGGAATCGCCTCAGTCCTTGTGAGAAACATGGAGCTATGCTGATGTTTATCAGCCCAGAGCAAAGGTGGTTGTTCATACTGCACATATCTCAGCTTGCAATGCTCAGCTGGACCCTTAGCTGGTCAATTCAGGTCACACACAGCAGTGTCTAGCATGTATATCAGACAACACCTGATACTCTTCAATATTTCTTATATAGCTTTTCAAATTGTCTCTATTAACTCCCTTTTCTAACGCAAATTTTATCCTTCCTACCTTAAAACCTCCTGCAGGGGAGATTTTCTACACTGACACGGTTGTCCGGCCGCAGCCCTGCCTCAGCAAGCCGACATTCACACCGCACCGGCAGACACACAGAAAATACAGCAAAACAGACAAACCCCGCTCGCCTGAGGGCACTCACCCACGTACTCGTCCATGTTGAAGGTTTTCACGTACTTGAAGGACAGGTCCCCGTTCCGGCAGTACTCCACCAGCTTCCTGTAGCAGCCCAGCGGCGTGCTGCCTGCGGAGAAGCCGCCGCCTCAGCCCCGGGGCAGGGCCCGCGGCCCCACTCCCTGCTCCCCGACACCCACCTGTGGGCAACCCCAGCGTGAAGAACCTCCCGGGGCCGGGCCCGAAGTGGACGATGCGGTTGCGGATGTATTTGGCCGCCCACTCGCTGGCCTGCGCGTAGTTCTCCAGGATGATG